CGATGGTATGGGAATCCTGTAGGGCCCAATATCCTTCAAATGTTGGTGATCTGTTGGAAATTTCTTGCCCTGTCTGCTCTCCCTGCCTTTGATCTTCCATTGAGCAATGTCACCAACATCTGGATATTCTTGTTGCTCTCGAGCCACTGTCACAGTATCCCAGTCTTCAGGTCAGTATAATTTATTTCCAGACAGTGTTTGCAATCCTGGGGGCAAGGATCGGAGAAGAGCTGGATGATGTTTAACCTCAGTTCGAAGCGGGTTAGGGGTAGGAATCATAGTACAAGTAACATTGCTCAAAACTAGATCTAGTAAGTAACCCGTTATTATGGTTCAAAATCATGTTATACTTACTGCTGGAGATACAAATAATTCAACAAATTATGAAGAGATAAAAGTCACCAGTAATAAGGATGTCCTGACTGGAGATACACAACGGTTCCAGTTAGGGTAATGGTTATCCCTACGGTTATGAATACGATTACAATTATTCAAGAAGAAATGAAAAAAAAAAAAAGCTAATGTGAGCCGAGCCGGCCTGAAAGTTCAAATAATTTTTTCCGTCATATATACCACATTTACTTGGGAAAAAGCTATTTTCTTGGTCATATTGACCGAGACGGCTGTCAACGCGTTAAAAAAACCAAATATTCAGTAATTGTTAAATAATAAATTGCAAAAAACAACAAATTCTGATAAAACTAAAAAAAAACATCGAAAATCAAAAGAAACATAATAAATCTGAAACCGGCCAAGACTAAAAAAACAATTCTAATGGCCGTTTGTACGACTTCAGGTTAACCAAGACTCAAATTTAACCAGTGTTTAAATTTAACCAGTGTTTAAATTTAACCTTTCCCACACCCCGAATCAGTGGCAACAAAGTTATGATCCCTAATAAGGCTCACAAGAAGAAGAAATAAAAGGATCAGCGAACCATAAATAGAAAATTAATGAGATAGAAAAGTACCTAACTACATATAAAGTGACCTCAATGACGTCATCGTCAATATGCCCCGACTGTATGTAATAAGTCTGTAGACCGTAGATTCAGAGTGCAGAGCTTTTATTAGGCTCCTATCTGTTCACCCGGTACATCATGAAGGTAAATTAGGCTACTACTAGGTACTATTAGGTACGTTTGGAGGCAAAACAAACTGAATCATAACCTCAATATACATTCCCCCTGTTAGGCAATCTAAACCAGGTGATAAGTCCAATTAGGCAATCCAAACCACGTGATAAATCCAATATGGCGACTGTGGGCATTGTTGCATTTGACAGGAATGACAAATATATTCATTGTTGTCACTTGTCAGTCATGCCGTCAACAATGCCTACAAGTGTCAAATACACGTCAAGTGCCCTTGCTCGCCATCTTGGAATTGGATTTTGACAGGTCGTTGGATTGCCTAATATGGCGACTGCAGGCATTGTTGAATTTGACAAATATATTCATTGCTGTCACTTGTTAGTCATGCTGTCAATAATATCCAGACGTGTCAAATGCAAGTCAAGTGTACTCGGATGTACAAAGGGATATAGATCAGTAATGAGAACCTGTAACTTGTAATAATCACGAATCGGAGAAATGTTTACGCAATATTTCGATTTCACTGGTTCTCACCAACGAATTAAAAAGACTAGAAGCAGCATCGTATGCGTATTGTGTGTAGCCTACCTATCAAGAGAGAAGGTGTTACTTAGAAGAGTCTAGGTATATAAGTAGACACACTTATCAGGTTTATGATTGGTTATGACTGATGAAAATAAATAGTGTAGCCAATCCGGAGTTGCGTCTCAAGTTTTAGGTTGGCTTCAATCAAACGACAATGAAGCTGCTTCTAGTCTTTTTAATTCGTTGGTTCTCACCATATATTCGGGTTGAATAGTATGTAGTCGGGAATATTTGGCAATATACCTGAGCCATAGATGGTTCATACTGTAAATTTTTTAATAATTAATTAAAATTATTAATTTTCTTTTAACAGATTGTACTGTACGTCTAGCTGAATAACCGAAAATAATTTTATCTCTGAATACATAAACTAAAAGGAAAAAATACTGCCAGGGTATATTAAGATTACTATCTTTAACTACTGACGATTAATACCTTTCTACAAGTACAAAGTAGTCATTTTGTTATAAATGTTCTACACATGGCACATATAGCCGAAAAACACAAAACAACTGTTTATCCAACTCGCTCAAACGTAAGCAAGGCGAAAATAGAATTAAAATTTGAGGTTAGTCACGACTGTCATGACAATAATTTTCTGTGTGACTTGACGGCCATGACATCGATCATGCGCCGATCATATGACCCACTAATATCACTGATTGTATGGTATAAACAAACCGTTCATTTGTGCAAACTTGACGAAAGTAGCACCGCATTCATAACCTATCACCCTAATATTGAGCTATTTTAATAAAAACCTACTTCCCTTGACAGCATTTTATTCATTTAAGTATATTTAGTTTTTAGATTTACTTACAGAAAATTAACAACAGCTTTTTTTTCAGGCCCTTTCAATGCTCCTGTTACTTCATACATGAAGCTAACTAACCCATCTGATAAAAGGGTTATGTTTAAAATTAAAACTACAGCCCCCAAGAAATACTGTGTACGTCCCAACTCGGGTATTTTAGAACCTAACAGTAATATAGAGATTGCCAGTAAGTATTTATTATATTATTTTATACAGGTGGTCTTTAATAAATGCTGATTTCAAATGATAATCCTAAAAATAACGTCTCTGAAGTGTTGGGATCAAACTTTTCATACAGCTACTGATGGCATGTCTGCTGGTTTTCCTACTCATAAGCGAGTCATTGTTCAATCTGCAAAACTTCTCAGTTTTGGGGCTTCGCAGATATTCATCTCGGTATTCCTAATAGAGTTCCCATTGTGGCTGCTGCTAAGTGCAAAGTTAGAGCAGTTATTCATTATGTAAATAAATGAAAGAGGTCTATCGAAGTTTATTGTCAATGGATGGAAGCGTATGGGAAGTCATGCATATATGTCAAAAGTCTGCAAGTGGTTAAGACTTAAATCTCTACAACTTCTGGAATCATATAAAAGAAGACCTTGAGAAGGCAACAGCCCTACCGTCCATACCAGTCGATATTGTATCTGTAGATCTTATCTTAAAGATGTTTTGGTATATTTTTGGAAAAATTATTTCAATGATAAATGGACTTCAAGCAATCAATAACAGAAGCTGTTAGAAAATAAACGGTTTTAAATTTTCTTGAAATTTTCTAGTCTATACTTTTGAATCAGAAGTAGGACAATGAATTGAGTTCTCCGCTCGCACAGAAACTAACATCTTTAGAAAAGAGAAGAAAAAGTGGAGGAAATACCAAGAACTTTACTTCGAACTTGACAGGCTCTATTCAGAATAAGCGATTAAATTCATGATGCTGCATATCAATAATACCTAATTACTTACTTAAGTTTACCTTTACTTACTAATACTTTACTTAAGTTTACCTTTTTTCAAATACATATCCTCAGTTTTCTATTTCAATAAAGAGAATTAGAGCGAGCGCCGTACCGCGTACAGAGGCATTCGGATTCTGCTTCCATAGTGACGTCGTGTGCAAACAGTTCCCAAACGCGTACAGCAGACGGTTATACCATTATGTAATTGTATCATGGTGACTTACTGTTCACTTATAAATATTCGCAAATACGGTTATAATTTACTTTCTAATTTGTTTCAGTTTGCTTGCAACCATTTTTATTCGATCCTGCAGAAAAGAATAAACATAAATTTATGGTGCAGACTGTGTTCGCACCAGATGGTGAGATAAATCTAGAACAGTTATGGAAAGTTCTCAGTCCAGAGCAGCTCATGGATTCAAAGCTGAAATGTGTATTTGAGATGCCAGTAGAACAGAATGAATCTCAAGAAGATCCCAACAAAGCTAGTCCTAAACCTGTTTCTAATACAGAAACCAGTAACTCTGTTGTCACTGAGTTACAGAAAGCTGCCCAAGAGGTTAGTCGAACAAGTTACTGTATATAAAATAATTGGAATAAATTGAATCGTTTACGGCAACAACAAGAGTGATGAAATAGTTATAAAGTTAAACTCAAAACAAAAAAAAAACCGTTTCTTAGTAAATTTTATTAGCATTATTAAAATATAATAGGGTAACAAAACAGGTAATATGGTAACACAATAGACAAAATATTTTTTTTTCTAACTTTAGAACTATTTGACAAGTCTTATTCTTGCTGGAAACACTTCACTTGTGATGCGGTCACTATAATTTTACTTGATTTATTATGTATAGTGTCCATTAAGTATGTAATTGTCCCATAAGCCCATATATCTGAAAAACTGTGAGCAGGAATACCAAATAGACTAAAAATGGGATACTTAAAAATGTTTTTTCCTACGAGCGTGCGGGATAACTACTATCCTGGACTCCTGCCTGAAAAAACATTTACCCGTGGTAGATTCTGTTGCATCATCCACAAAACAAAGTTTCAGATGTCACAATACAAACAATCATATAATCTGGCAGTGCATGTCAAACTTAGATGATATTATATACCTACTTAAACACATATATACCTACATATTAGAAACAACAAATAATATTACCGCACTATTTAGTTCAACCACTTATTCTATTAAGGATCTCTAACACACTATAACGAGGTTTAGAAAAAGTAAAATATAATGGGTTTTTCACTAGATGTAAAAATTTATTATGTAGGGTGCAAAATTTCTGTGATGTTTGTAGGAAAAATTCTGGACCTAATACGTACCGGAAGCGACTTTTCCGCACTCGACTGTCGATCAAACTCCGCTTCGCGTTGTTGATACTAATATTTGTGGTGTTGCAGACGTAAATTAGAATGGAGAAAATTGTTGCTCCAGCGGACTAGTTGTAGTTATATGTATCTGCATACCTTATTCCATCATTCACTACATGAATGAAAGGGATTGTTGCTTCAACGGTGTACTCATTTCCGAGAGGTTGCCCAGTGGTCTAATGGTAAGACACCGTACCGCTATTATGGCGATACGGATTCGAGCCCTGGCTGGAGCAACAATTTTTTCCATTCTAATTTACGTCTGCAACGCCACAAATATTAGTTAGTATCTTCATAGTACATAACTATTATCAATGCATGGCGATCATATCCTTTCGAATGGGGCTTCTACGTTATAAAACTTTGTCTTTTTTTGGCTTTGGCTCTTACTAGACCCCTTACTAGAAGCACAGATTTTATAATTGCGTCACTGCTGTTTAACATCAGATTAACTACTGAGCCAGTAAAATAGCTCTCTGAATTTATCCAGGGATTTGTTTAATTCTAAGTGGATCCACTTTAATCCTAATCCTGCTCCACTGTGAACAGCTGGAAGGAACTCTGGTATCCTTTTGTGAGGAAGGGCAGTTTGGTAGTTTTTTCCTTTACCAGTCTCAATGGTTATTCTCAACACCATATTCTCGATGGTACGAGAGCCCCCCAACGCCCAATAACCTTTAAAGCTAGGTTGCTTGCCATGGATTTGGGTACTTGGTGAATGCTTTCTATTAGTCGTGAGAGGGTCACGTGGGCTGCAGAAAAAATGAATAGCCAATAGCCACAGCTGAATTGTGAATACCCAAATCTCCAGAGCATGAAATCCAGCTTTAATATTTGGTAATTTGTTGTCGGATGTCAACGACGATGTCGTTGTCCCCTTCCGTGCTCGATGGTGAAGTCAAATTCCTGCAAACGTTGAAGCTATCTTGCCACATGGTTGAACTGCAAGACCCACTTCAGTGAAGTGTCATCACTTAAGGTGAACCATTGGCTATAAGATAGAGATATTTTGGATTTACTCGGAATGGCATATTTCAGACCAAGTTGGTTGTATATCCGATTTGGTGCTTCGGTCGTTCATTGGTTCATTAATGCAACGTATCCATAGATACTACTTTATTGATGGATGCCAACACTTAAACCATGTGTCAAATAGAATTATGTCTTATGTCATAATAAATTTAAATTATTAAGGATGGTCAAAAATAAGGAATAATTTATATAAGTTTTAGACAGAGAGTTTCGGAACTAATTTAATGGAAATTAGCGAAAATATTGAAAAAGATACTACCGAACTGATATTGTTTTTTGTATATACAACTCACTCTAGCACTCCGGGTATATCCAAACAACATCAGTTTTCGTGAAAATGGAAAAAATACATTCGAATATAATTGGCGGTCTTGTGATATTACTACTGCTCCACGTAAACGCTCCAAAGTCTTCAAAATGGTCCGTCACTCTTTCCTTATCATATGATATAAGCACAGCTGCTTGGAGACGACTTTGCTGTTACAATACCTTTTCTTGTCCATTTTCAACTTGGAATAGGATGCCATTCCAGTGTTACTAACATCAATGTATAATAAGCGCTGTCCATGGTTTAAGTAAGACAGTATTGGGAGAGAACATAGAGCTGGTTTCAATTTTCTAAAAGCTTGCTCACATTCCTGGCTCCATTAGCCGATGCACAGGTTTTAGAATTTCGGATAAATTCTTCATGAACTTTCTAAACAAGAAAATTTCTTAACTGATGTTTGTCCTTCAGTGAAGGTTATCTCTGTATGGTCTCTATATTTTCTAGGTTAGTCATAATACCTGATGGAGAAAACATGCGTCCTAAGTACTTAACTTTCTTGTGTCAGTAGACACATTTCTTTGTGCCCAATTTGAAGTTGGACTCTTGGAGTTCCTTAATAATCCCTTCTACATCTCTCTTCTATATTTCAAATCTTCCATGTACGGCCATCTAAGACACTCCCCATGAGTTTTTTAAACAAAGTTGGTGCGTTACACAGATCAAAGGGCATGACGTTGAACTTCCACAGACCCGCTCCTGTACAGAAGGCTCTCCTTTGTTTGTCGTCGTGGGTGAAGCTCAACTTGCCAGGTGCCACCTTGAGCACTGTTACCAGAGCACTGTCGCCAGTATTTATGCTATGTTGGACTAATAAGCTTTTTCACCCACAGCCCAGGTCCTAATTACTGACCTGGTGGTACTGTAAAATAAGCCAATAGTGGGTTCCGATCCGGTAAATTCTACTCTTTCTTGTTCTTCCTTCCTAAACTTGTTTAAATTCTTTCAACATATTTTCAACTTTGTTTTACTGTTTTTAAATATTTTTTATTTATTTATTGGTTAGTAAATGTCTTGAATGATAGTCTTTATTTTCTTCGGTTTAAATTCTTGTTTCCCTTGACTTGCTTTCATGTCTTCTTTTATGTTCTCTTGGCTCCCCTTCAAGTCTTCTTTCATCTTCTGACAACCCTCTCCATATTTGTCCTAATAAAAGCCTTTTCGCGTCATCTTAGCTTAATTTCATGGTACTCAACATATTTTCTATTAGCTGTTTCATTGACTAATCTATACTGATTGACTTCTCGTAAGTGCATTTACAGGAAACCTTTTGAACACGTCCCGCTTTGACACCAAATGTTCTGTGGTTAACTTACTAAATAATGTAATGTAATCCATTCGACTTTGACAAACAACTGACTTTTATTTACAAATGAATCGTTTATTCACTTTGTGATAAAGTGGCTGGTAACTATTAGGCAAATCTGTATTCTGTCAAAATAAGTCCAATAAGGCACGTTTACTCCCAGTATATCTATCCCTCTGCTCCTCCGTATTCTTCTGCCTCTGACAATCAGAATCTCTGTTTTTTCCGGTGCAAGTGCTAGCCCGGCACTCGTCATCCATTCTATTATTCTTCCTAGGCCTTCCGTCACTAGTCTAACCGCTTCGCTTCTTCTTGGCGTAGCATGTCATGATCATGTAGTCCGCGTATAGCGTCAATCTCGTTCCCCGTCCCCACTGCAATCTACTTAGCTCATCGTACTGGACGTTCCATAAAAGCGGTCCCAGGATGGAGCCCTATTGCACGCCCCCCGGGACATCCAGTTTCTGTCCGTATGATCCCTGGATCCTTGTTGGTGAAGTAGTCCCTAATGGTGCGCATTAGGTATTGTGCCACTTCCCAGTAATTTAATTGTTCCTCTATCTTCTGCCACTTGACGCAGTTGAACGCATTTTTCACGTCTATCATTACCAACATGCACCATTCTCTAGTTCTCCAGCTTCCTTCCCTCACTGCCTTTGCCAGCTGCGCAATGCAATCGATGGCGTCTATCGTTGATTTGCCCTCAGCAAATCCAAATTGTTCGCCCGACAATCCGTCCTTGCCTTCTATATGCTCTTTTAACCTGGAATTAATGATTCTTTCAACGCCTTTCCCAATAGTGTTCAAAAGACAAATTGGCCGGTAGCAACTGGGATCCGTACCATCTTTGCCCGGTTTTTTGAGTAGCACCAGCCTCGCTATCTTCCAGGTTCTGGGGAACTCTCCTTCCCTCAGTATTTTGCTGAACATATCGCTTATCAAGTTCGGCCATTCGCGCGTGGCTGATTGCCAGATTTCGGCCGTGAGACCATCCAGACCTGGAGCTTTCCTCTTTTCCAGCTTGCCCATGCTCTTACTTCCTGTGTTGACACCTTCCATCCCTCATTTGTGTATTTGTCCCATTCCGTCGGGTTCTGGGCTGAGAATAGGGCCTGCATTACTCTATTTTCCTCTGTCTCTTTTAACGTTTCTGATCTTGCTCTTCCTATTCTTTTGTAAACTATTTTATTAGCCTCGTCCCAGGGGTAATTTTCTAACTTCCATCAGTTCCCTCCATTTATTCTTCTTTTCCTCTTCAATCATTTTCCTCAACTTTTTCCTCTCCTCTTTATAGCTTTGATGTTGATCCTCGATTACCTCTTGTTCTGTATTTCTCCTGCTTTTCGTCCTCGACCACTTCCTTCTTGCCCTCACATAGATCTTCCTCTGATGGGCAATTTCTTCATTCCACCAGTAAACTTTTCTCCTTCTCGCCTCTAGACCAACAGCTCACGAACTCTTCAGCTTCTAAATTTTGGAGTTCTTGTTCCTTGCCTCGCAGCACTTCTCAGAATCTCTCTTCTTTTCTTCCTACGAATCTCCATTTGTCATATGACGTTATCTGCATTGTCTCAATCTCAAATTTTATAGCTTTGTGGTCACTTACTGTTTCGCACTCTAGAACTTCCCATTTTTTAATTTCCTGGCGATATCCTAGGATGTAAATGTGAGGTCCACTCTTGATACTCCCTGCTGTCGTACACATGTCGGTGCATTACCCCTGTTTTGAGTCACCATGCTGTTGTCTGCTAGCCATTCTTCCATCCTTTTCCCTCTCTCATTCGACCGTGAGTCGCCCCAGGAGCCGGATCTGGCGTTGAAGTCACCCTGTTATCACGATTTTCCTACTGCCTTTTCTTCTTACGTCTTCCTCAAGATCGATCAGGAAGTCTTCTACTTGTGCTGGTGTTACGTTTGGAGATAAATAGCTCGAATAAATCGTATATTCCCCTACTTGGATCCATTTGAATCCGTTGCCGCTCACCTGTGCCGTTATGCCAACTTTTTTGTTGACCACACATATTGCAGCATCCTTCTTCTCGTCGGACCACCAACCGATCCTCTACAGCAGGACCTAAACATGGTAAACCAAACTTATGCTGATAGGCTTAAATATTATCTTTCGGCATGGCAGGGAATAACGATTGACCAAATTGTATTACATTGGATAGCTGGAATAAAATTGCAGTTTCTCACTGCTGGAACTCCCCAATTTCTATTACAAAAGCCATAAAATCCAACACAAAGACCGCGTCAAACGTACAACTTGCGTAAAATGAGAGTGTGTCTGCCTACACACCGCCATTTTTGTCGGCTGTTTTGGATAGCCTGATGTGATAGAATGTGAATCTCTGCCACACAGTTCTAACCTAAAAACACAGCCTTAACTGTCAAATAGTTAACAGCAAAGTATCAGTAAAAATATAAGAACATTTAACAAATATAAGGGGGCTTCTCTGTAACAACGCTAATGGATTCCCTGCACATGGTGTCTGCCTCGGTTGCGTAATGTGCTATATAGGAGGTATCTGTAAGAACATGCTCTATGGGTCAAATCAAGCGAACTACTATAA